TAGATGTTGAAAAGCATGGGGGAGAGGACAGAACCCTGAGGCACCCCACAAGTGAGGGGTCTGAACACTCATCCCCCACCACCACTTTCTGAACACAGCCCAGGAGGAAGGAGCGGAACCACTGTATGACAATGCCCCCAGCTCCCAGCCCCTCAAGACGGTCCAGAAGGATGTTATGGTCGATGGTATCAAACGCCGCTGAGAGATCCAGCAGAACTAGGAAACAGCTCTCACCTTTGTCCCTAGCCCGCCGGATATCATCAACCAGTGCGACCAAGGCAGTTTCAGTCCCATGATGAGGCCTGAATCCCGACCGGAAGGGATCCAAATGGTCCGCTTCTTCCAGGCATGCCTGGAGTTGTTCAGCAACCACTCGCTCAATCACCTTGGCCAAGAATGGAAGATTTGAGACTGGGCGATAGTTGGCCATCCTGGCCGCATCTAAAAATGGTTTTTTAAGAAGCGGTTTAATAACCGCCTCTTTCAGCGGGTCTGGGAAAGCTCCCTCACGGAGGGAAGCATTCACCACCCCACGAAGCCCATCGCCCAGTCCTTCCCGGCTAGCTTTTATAAGCCAGGATGGGCAAGAATCAAGGAGACAAGTGGTTGGTTTCACTCATCCAAGCAGCCTGTCCACATCCTCGGGGGTAACAGATTGGAACTGATCCCACACAACTGGACTAGACAGGACTCTAGCACTCTCCCGCCCTGGCCCTGCTCCCACGGTGGAGTCTACCTCTTCTCGAATCTGAGCGACTTTATCTGCAAAAAACTTTGCAAAATCATTGCACATAAGTTTATTTCTCTACTGTGCCACTTCCATCCTGCCCATGATCCCTCCCACCCCCGTTTAAACCATTCTGTTGACTTGGCTTCACCAGCAGAATGGCTGCACTGGTCACCATCTTGTATTGTCATATTTTATGGCTCTTCAGTGGATCCCGGGTAAAGGATTGTTCTTTTAAACATGTCTGGGCAAGATATATCAGATTGTTCAGATTTCTGCTGTGGATGTAAGTTGTTTGTGGAAAATTTTGGCTCAGCTACTCTCCATAGCTCTGCATTGCTTATCCATGATGATTGCTGCAAAACCACAAATAATTGCAGGACTTTCCTGCGAATGGATTAACATTCTGTGGATAAATAGCAGTAGAAGTAAGAATAATAATAATATAGCTGTATGGAAATAAAAGCAGTGGCTCAATAAGAAAGAGATGCAAGCACCTAATAATGTCATATCTGCTTTCATAGGCAAATGAAAAATGGTTTGTAATATAACTTTCATACCTGGGAAAGTGGGCAAGCTATTCTTCATGAAATATGTAATTACTTCATTTTCCCCAGGAGTTCAATAGCATTTCCAACAATAAAATATTTTATAGGGCAAGAGAGAGGGCACTTTTACATGCCCAGTGGAATGATCTACAAATCCCTAAGAGTATAATTCTTGCAGTTCAACTGTTCGTAACAGATGCAAGTGGCTGCTTCTGCACACCTTGAAACAAGGTAGGCCATGGACCAAGGCCTTGATTTCAAATCAAACTACAGAGCAAAATATATAGTCAGACATTATTGGTTAATGAGTTTGCACAGGTGACATTTTATTACATAGAGCTTTACGTATTCCCCCCCCCCCCCCAGTTTTTGCCATCTTAAAATCTGGAATTTAACAACACAAAGGGAGGAATTAAAAATAGTGCTAAGCAGATTGCTCCTCCAGCTCAAACATTTCTGCCCTCTCCTCCCTGATGCTTATGGGAAGACAAGTATATGAGAACTTGCTCACCCCTTCATGTTCTCCAGTAAGATTCAGAGCCCAGATTGCTTCCAATACTGGAGATAGCACATGTTCATAATGACTAGTAGCCATTGATACTTACTGTCCCTTAATTTGTCCAATACTCTTCTGAAGCCATCAAAGGGCTCATCCAGACTTCCTTTTGTACCACACTTTTTTTCTGGTCCTGCACTTTCCCTGCAAAAACACACTTACACTCTTCACTGCTGAATCAGATCAAACAGCAATCTGTGGGAAACCTTAATTGCCATTTGTTCTGATTAAGCTTTGTTTAGTGGGTTTTCGCGGAGAAAGTGCTGGGGCAAAAAAGAGGGAGGGGCTCAGACATGGTGCTTTAAATTGCGGACCAGTGCCTAGAAAGTGTGGGGCAGAAGGTAAATGTGGGTGAGCCCTAGATTGGTGTCCGTTGCTGCTTCTTATGGGAGTGAACGCCATAGTTTACCTATTTAGTATATGAAGAAGGGCTCTTTTTTCCTGAAAGTTCCCATATTCAGCTTCTTTAGGTGGTATGTTTAGGATTATAATTCATTTTATGTTGCAGTTTTCTTTATTTAACTAATCACTGTTATGAGATCCAGACAAGCTTGCTCTCATCCAGGAGGACAACGTGGAAACAAAAGCAGTGCAATTTGTTTTTCTAGTAACATTATGAAAGCTATTATCTTCCCAAACCAATTTGTGCAAGTAAAATATGTAACTGTGCATGTATCTTCTTACTTTGCATAAGTCATTCAACTTCCAAGATACACAGCTCATTTGTGTGACTTCAGGGACTCCAAAATTAAGAATGCATGTCCAGTGTGCATAGGATTGAAGGCAGGTCAGTCTTTCAAAGCAAAGCAAGTACAGAAAAATCACAGTCAATGATTCCAAAGTAAGAAATCTATGAATTTAAGATTTTCTAGGTTATCATCATACCCACCTGGAAAATGAGCTTTGCTTATATGAAAGTGTTAATATAGGTGCATACAAAGCTGCATTATCTTGAGCCAGGCCACTGACCCATCTAGTTCAGTGCTTCCTGTGCTGATTGGCACTGGATCTTTGGCAGGGTTGTTCATCATAGCCCTACCTGGAGATGCCAAGTGATTAAATCTGGGACCTTCTGCATGCAAAGCAGAGCTACTGAGCTATGGCCTTTCCGCAAGGCTTCACAATTTGCAACAACTTTCAGGATTAATATGGGTTGCTCCTCTCTATACCTTAACATGGCAGAAAATGGAAAACCCTTCCAAGTAATCATTCAAGCCAGTCAGCATATATTTGGCTCCTTGGATGGGATGGTGTTGGCTTGGATTACTGTATTCTTTGCATCTCCCACCCTTTTCTAATAAATTGGGTGGCCATGACAGAGAGCAGGTAGCAGGTTATACATATGTTCATCTTCTTCCATTTTCTCAGAAACTCCATTTAATTGCCATTCCTATTTCTTTGCAAATGTTTCCCCGTTCACATATTTCCCTTTAAAGGTTCAGATGCTCATTCAGAATTTAAAATCTTCAGGCGCTTAGTTACAGTAATCATTATTTCTCCTGAACGGCAGCTCTGTCATTAACTTTATAGCTTATGAAACTGAATTTCTGAGAAGAAATATTTGTAGTCTTGTTGTTGGCATCAGTCTGTCTCAAGAGACAATGGAGTGTTACTCCAGGGGTGAAGTCAAACCACTGTGTTAGCAGCACCGAAGTGACTTCCCTGGAGCGTAAACCTGGGCAGTGTGTATGAAGGTCCTGGGCTGCCCTGACAACAAGACCGCCCCCTCTCCACCTCACTGATGTGGTCCCAAGGAAAGCAGAGCAATACATTTGACACCAGCTTGGCTGCAGGAGTTGCTGGAAGAAGGTGTACAAGGCGCCATCCTACCGTCTAAGGGACTTCACTTCAGATTTGTTTTGGGTTTACTGGTTAGCCTTTTCTTTCTCCCAAGATATCCTGCAGCTGAGGTTTAGGATCAGAGTTTTCCTTCTCCTAGACAGACAGACTACCTTCCCAGGTTGATGCGTTCCATCTGCCCCTCACAGTCTACAGCATGTGCAGAAACCACCTTCTTGACCGTCAGACCCACTATTGGTTTCATCTGCTTAATCTGCCAGATCCTGTCTTCACATGCAGGGTGGAGTTCCTAATTCACTCAGGGTTTGAGACCTGCTGGCTGGTTTAGCTAGCCAGTCAAAACTGTTCCTGGGATGTGGCTGCTGTAGCATGCTGATGGCTTCTAGGAGCCACAGATGAGAGCTGAGTGCAGGGTGGGATAAAAGCTGGACAAACTACTCTAGAAGGAACACTGTGTCACCCACCAAAAGTACTACTCTCCATTTGTAGTCTAAGCTTATGAAATATATACAGAAATATTGCATATCTGCTTTACTTCCTTACTTTCTGCATTGAACAGTGCTAAAAAAATCCCCGATAATGTCACTTTTATATAAAAATATACTTGTGATTGTATATCTTTTATCTCATTCTGTTTACTGGAAAGTCCCTAAATGATTCTAAATGTCCATTTTCCCTATTTACTTTGCCCTGGAGCATTCTCCGGCTGCGGTGTTCTCAAGAAAACAATATCCAAAGTAAAACTGATTACTCTGGGAATGCATTGTGAAAACCACTTTTTAGTGCAGCAGACATCAAGTAGGAACATTTAAATGCCCATTGAGTATCAACCGAACAAGGCACATAGAATCATAGAATCATAGAGTTGGAATAGACCACAAGGGCCATCGAGTCCAACCCCCTGCCAAGCAGGAAACACCATCAGAGCACTCCTGAGATATGGTTGTCAAGCCTCTGCTTAAAGACCTCCAAAGAAGGAGACTCCACCACACTCCTTGGCAGCAAATTCCACTGTCGAACAGCTCTTACTGTCTCTTACATAAAGATCAAAACAGGAAAGTGTGCACATGGCACACTAAAATGATTTATGACTATACATTTTCATTACATGGGCACAAAAGCATTGTGAACCGTGGAGATCAGGAAACATCAAACACCCTCTAGGCATAAGCATATTCACATCAAATTAAATCAGGTTTCCCCCCCTGCTGCAATAATAATAATCCTATTTTCTTGAATCAATTTTTATTGAAGCAATATTCGACATATAATCTATAATTATATATTACGCCTAAACTCTGAAATGTTATTAAAATCCCAGGTTTCCAGTGCATGTTCAAAAGAAATCAAATTGTTTTGTTTTTTCCAGGCTTCTTGCCTAGTGGCAACGCGGCTGCTGCCTTGCTTTGAAATATTGATATCAGCACAGGTTTGCTGGCTTTAAATATTGAAGAGCGCTATTAAGGCCATGGAAGAACAAGTGCAAGACCTAATCAGTGGGAAGAAGTTCTGAAGAGCTGCCAGCAGCTAGAACCAAGAGGGGAAACCTCTTCATCACTTTGATGAAGTAAGTAGGAGTATTCATTTTCAAGAACTACAAAAGCAGGGCTATGACATCCTAGTATATATTTTACCCTGCCACCTGGCTGATACATGCTGGATTATAAACAAAACACATCAAACCAACCCCAGGCATGTTGGTTAAGCTACAATGCTACAATCAGGAGCTGAAAGAATATGAAAAAATTTGATTGCTTTTGTACAATTTTTCAGCATATTCCTTTGTGCCCTCTCTCTTTCCCTTTGCAATAGAGTGTATACAAGTATCTTTGCAATACAGTGGTACCTTAGTTTAAGAACAGCTTAGTTTATGAACAACTTGGATTAAGAACGCTGCAAACCCGGAAGTAGGTGTTTTGGTTTGTGAACTTTGCCTTGGAAGCAGAACATGTTTTGCTTCCTGTTGAGTGTGTTCCGTTTGTAAATTGAGTCCCCTGCTGCTATGGGAAAGAACACCTTGGTTTAAGAATGCTTTGGTTTAAGAACAGACTTCTGGAACAGATTAAGTTCGCAAACCAAGGTACCACTGTACTTGCTTCTGCATCTCTCTCCACCACCCCCTTTCCCCTTTTAATATGTGTAACTAATTCGTATACTCCAACTGCTGCTATTTATCAACTATTATTTGGTATCTATCCCTGGTCAAAGTCAGTTCTGTGTTTTGTTCTTTAGCATACTGTGAAGGATATTCTTATAAGCATAAGAATTATTGTTTTTCTTTCTTACTATTGGGTTGTTATTGGGAGGTTTTAATTTTTATTATGTATTTTGTGATTTTATATTGTGCTTTTATATTGTAAGTGCCCTGGGACCTGCAGATATAGAACGGTATACAAATAAATAATAATAATAATAATAATAATAATAATAATAATAATAATAATAATAATCCTTGTACACATATCTTCAATTTTCAGCCTCCTTCCCTGGGTCTCTAAAAAGTACATTTTTGATCAAGTGTGTGTGTATATGCTTCTTGACTCCGGTGTACATACGGGGGCAGTAGATTTCCTATCCCTACCCTAACTTCTTATCAGGGGTTAATGTCACTGCAAGGCCAAGGGAAGAGGCCTTATTACCACCACCATGTACATACTGACTATAATGCTACAACTTTTCAATCACAACTAATCATATCTTGTAAGAACTTCCACAAAATTGTCAACAGTAGACCCTAAAGGTTTGTGTTCCAAAGTGAATTCCCAAAGATAAATTGTCAGTGCCTATGTAAATCAGGTTGCAGAGGAGAGTTCTTCTTTTCATTGTTGCATCCCATAATACATGATCAATTGTTTTTCTTAATCAGACTTTAAAAGGTGGAGTCAACACTTTCGACAATGAATAAATTGCTCTGCAGAGGATAGCCCCCTGTCAAAATCCTAAACACACCAAATTGCTTCATCTGTCCCAGCTGAAGATCCCAAAGTATTGCACAGTTGGACAAGGAGATCTGTTCCCTCACCATCTTCATTATTCACTTAGAAGCTTCCGCTTAACTCAACACATTTACTTTCAGCATGGATCAAGGCAATGCAACCCTACAAAACTGGACCCCAAAACACATCAGTTGTAGTTCTGAATTAAAGACCCATATCTCATTTACCAAATAATGCTTACATCCCACACCGCTACTCTTCCCTATCTTTTTCTCAGCATGTTTGAGTGTGTGATCCTGTGTATTCATTTGGGAGTAAGCGGTGCTGGATCCAATGGAACTTGTAACAAATATACATTTAGGATTGTACTGCATATTGCCGTTTTTCTATAAATATAATCCTCGTGAGATTAAAATCTTCAATTACACAACCTGCTTAAACTTTTTTTTTTTTTAAGAACACTCTTTATGATCCATTTAGCGCTGTAACAGCTTCCAGCTTCTGATGCTTTGGGCATTTTATTGTAATGCTGCTCTTTTGCTTTGCTTTTATATATTTTTATTGCTTTTTGTTGCTTTATTGTATATTGTTTTACTGTTGTATTTTTTAATTTCCTTGCAAGGTGCCTTCGGGGTTCTTCCAGACCTAAAGTATATGATATAAATACAGTAAGTAGCAGGGGCGCCGACTTATAAAAAATATTGGGGGGGCCCATACCGGGGTCCTGTCCCGGGAAGTTTTCTAAGTTCCAATGTCAGTGGCGCCCAGCAGAGCAGCCCTCTCGGCCACGGCAGCCCGGCTCTCCCAGCCCCCGGGGGCCGCCCTCCTCCCTCGCGCACCCGCAGCATTCCCGCCCGGGGAGGCGGCGCCCCCAAGGACTCAGGTTCGGTTGTACCTGAGAAGCCGAGCACCTTGGCTCCCAAACAAATCGGCTTCTGAACAATCGAAGCCCGGAAGTGAGTGTTCTGGTTTTCAAATGATTTTTGGAGGGCGAACATCCGGTGCGGCTTCCGATTGGCTGCAGGGGGCTCCTCTGGCAGAAGCCGCAGTCTGGTTTTGAAATGGTTCCGGGAGTCGAATGGACTCTCGGAACGCATTCTGTTCGAGAACCAAGGTACAGTGGACGCTCGGGTTGCGAACGTGATCCATGTGGGAGGCACGTTCGCAACCCGCAGTGTTCGCAACTCACATTGCTGCGTCTGCGCACACACAGGTTGTGTTTTAGCGCTTCTGCGCATGCACAAGTGCTGAAACCTGGAAGTAACCCATTCCGGTACTTCTAGGTTTCAGTGCATCCATAACCTGAAAATGCTTAAGCTGAAGCATCTGTAACCCGAGGTATGACTGTATGTACCAGTCCTAAGGAACTGGCCAAGTAAGGCAATCAGCATCTGCAGGTCCCTTGACAGACAGGAGAGAAGCCACACTCTTGGATTTCTGTTGGTAGATGCCTCTTCCTGAGATGCTTGTATTATGCTAATCATAGAATCATAGAGACAGAAGGGACCCCAAGGTCATCTAGTCCAGCCCCCTGCAATGCAGGAATCTTAGCTCAAGCATCCCTGACAGATGGCCACCTAGCCTCTCCCAGGGAGCAGAGACCGTCTGAACAGCTCCTATTGTCAGAAAGCTCTTCCTGATGTTGAGCCGGAAAAGTCTTTCAAAGCTGCTGCACACCTTTGTTTGGGGTCCTCCCCTCCTTGCAAATGTCAGTGGGAAGGAGGGCTCTGTTTCAACAGAAAAATAAAGATTCCCCCTTTCTTCCAGCTTACACTCATTCGTCTCTGACTGATAATGGACTTGGGAGGCTTTGAGCCCCTTGGGGAGCTGAGCTGTAAAGGACAACCTCCAATTTTCATGCATCAGAAGGAGCCCAGGAGCCCCATCGGGGCTTACCCTGCGCAGGCTGGTTCCCCCCACACACAAACACACACACTGGGTTGCAATTTTGTGGGTCAGCTTTGGCTGGGAGAGGCAGCCCCCCGTTAAGTCTCTGCCAGCCCAATAGCACAGCCCCCCCCCGCCAAGTCCATGGCAGGAGACAGGCAGCAGCACCCAGACCCCAGAGGCTGCCCTTGGGACTGGCGTTCCCACACTGCCACCTTCGCAACAAAGGCCAGCGGCCAAGTCCCCCCCCCAGCCGCTTCCTTGGTCCCACAGGAAAGCCAGGCAGGGGCTGCACATCCTGCCCTCCGCCTCTTCCTGCTGCCCCCAACAGACAACCAGGCCTGCAAGCTTCCTCTTCTGACATCGCCCAGGCCCCCACGCAGCCCCCCACCAGCAAAACGCCCAGGAGTTTGAAGGGACCCGAGGGCCACGCAGCCAAGGGGTCTAACTCTGCAGAGAAAAGCTTCCTGTCTTTCCTCTGCCCCCTCCCCACCGGAAAGGGATGGTGGCTGCAGGCTCTGCCCCCCCTTAATATCTGCAAAATGATTAAGGCTGATACATTGTGTTACAGGATTTTATCTAGGTAACTTCCCTGAGCTGTCAAGTTGAAAGGGTACATTCAGGCATAATATTTGCAACATTTAACAACTTTAAAGATGTGCCCCCCCCTGTAATTTCCATAACAGTTGGAAGGACAAAAATATAACCTCCTATGACAACTCCTGCAACCCATGAGCTTTCAGACAAAGATCATGCATGGACAAATGTAAAGATATTTGGAAAGTATTGATCGAAACCACAGTAACAAACGAATCAATGTATCTTCAAGGGAAGAATAAGTAGATCCATTTGCATATATAGCTCTGTAGGCTTAATTATATTCCATTGCTATTTTCTTATTGCTCTTTTCCTCTGCTTCTATTTATTTTTAATGCATGTAACCTTTTTATTCCCCCCGCCGCCAATTTAACTCCTTGTAATACTCTCAATAAAATATAAGGAAACAAGAAAGGAGATTCCCACAAAACATTAGGAAGGCCTTTCTGGTGGTGAGAGCAGTCAGACAGGGGAAGGGGCTTTTAGGGAGAGGTCGGGGGGAGGGCATCTGCCAGGGATGCTTTAGCTGTGAGTCCTGAATTGCTGGGGGTTGGACTGGATGACCTTTGGGTCCCTTCCACCTCTATGATTCCATGACCTTTAAGGGAAGTCACCTCCATCTTCCTCTCAGAGCAGATGCCCACAAGCCCTGGGCGGGAAGAGCCAGAGAGAGAGAGAGAGAGAGAGAGAGAGAGGAGGACATTCCTAAGAACCGGCAGCTCAGCTCTCGCCTCCCTCCAGGAACCAGAAAAGCCAGTTTAGGGCTCAGATCTTTCCCACAGGCCTTTCTGAGTTCTTCTCCGGGGACACCCCAGGATGGCCAGAGCGTCACAAGAACCGCACCAGACATTCACCAGACCCCCAATCTTTCCCCCTTCCTGGCCTGAGAGGCTGCAAATTCTACCTGCCTTCCCCCCTCCAGTTGATCAACACACAGAGATGCAGGTGGCCAGGGACCCACCTGTGCACACCTGAGCCTGCAAGGGGCAGCCAAGCCCCCTTCACCGCCTGCCCCCCCGCCAGCCCCCTCTCCCCTCCTCCCTAGGCGGCAGCTCCGCCATGACCACAAACGGCGGCGGCGGTAGCTGCCGCGCGCGGCCCGGGCTCCCCTCGCTGTCCGCAGGAGCCAAGGCGCGCGACGAGGGTA